TGACAGCGACAGCGCGGAATAACAAAACATTAATGTCAGAAACGTCAAAAATAACATCAGATATGAAGAACTTTTTTCCAGGGACCTCCCAGTTGTTTGCAATTCAGTAAAAACTGCATTTAAATTTAAATGCATTATGCATTTTCTGAACTTGGCTTATGTCAAGGCCCATCTAACGATCCAACTTAATGCATTTAATGCCCAGCACTTGTTTGCCTTTTATGAACTTCCCTTCGATGGACTTCGACTTCCTTCGGTTTATTTCACTTGCTCGCTGGATTTGATTACCGTCTCCCATTTCGCATTCCCATCCATAGAGTTCACTATATAGCTCTGGTTGAAAATCGGAGGAGGGGGAAATTCTGGGGCCTCATCTTCCATGACGCGGCACGCAGCGTGAAAATGCTGCTGCTGCCCCATCCACGGAACTCAGAATTTTCCCCTGCCACTCGGCCTTCTTTAGTATTTGTTTTCCTTATGTTTATGGCTTGGAAAACGGTTCGATGCCTCATTTTTCTTGTAGCTATAGTTTTTGCTGTTTCGCTATTTAGGGCTGAAAGTGAAATTTCAAAATGTTGTTTATGTTTGCTTTTAGCGGGAAATTCCTTGTCGGTTTTGCTGGGGTAGCGTGGAAAAGGGAGCTGAGAAAAAGCCCTATACGATGCACCATTTTATGATGTGCTTTTAAATGTTTTCATTATTAGACGTTTCAATGAGAAAATAAATTTCTTCATTTACTGGGTCATAGAGTACTTCATGGAGTTTTCCCAGAAATAGAAGAGTTAATATGATCGAATATGTACTATGTATGGAATATTTTAGAACTATCTATCTATATTGTAGTAAAATCAGTAAAACCCATAATTTAGGTAATTTTATCTGGGCACATCGTTTCTTAATTGGAGCATTTAGGTACACGCATTGTCCAATTCACTGACCTCTTCAGAACCCAAAACCGAAACACAGATTGCCTCCAGAATTGAGAGACAAATGCAGGCATATTCAGAGACAGAGAGCCGAATCAAATGCAATGTCATTTATAATCGTTGTGACTGACCATCCCCATTCCCAATTCCATTCTCAGTCCATTTTCCCTGCCCCATAACAGCGTTTTCCCCCCGGTGTCCAGCTGTCAGAAATTCTCACACTTTGTGGCAGGGAATCTGAGAGACAATGAGAACAGCAATTTCCATTTAACGAACTGGTGGATCTGTTGAGGGGGCGGGGGAAAATGGCTGGACATGGCACCGAAACTAGAACTAAAACAATTTAAATCACTTATGATTTATGCCTGGTGCGAACTAAATCTAAATTAATACAAATCTCTGCGAGAACGGCCAGTTCTCTTGGGGAATTGGGAATTTGGGTTATGGGTTAATAGGGGAGCGGAGATGCAGGGAGTAACCAGTTTTTGTGAGAAAGGATTTAACTCGGTTTGCCTGCCCGTGCTGCAATCTCATAAGGAAGTCGACAATTAACCAAATCCAAGTGGAGAACTGGCCTCAAATTAAAAGATATATGCGCATAATTAAGTTACAGTTGACATAATTAAATGATAATTGTTATGGTATGTAGCCACACACACACATGGGCATATTTTTTGAGTTATTTGCTGTTTGTTTGCCTCTCGAAGGGGGAGGGTTAATTTGTGTGTCGTCCGGTGGCCCCTGGCCCCCCAAAACCCCCTCCTCCCCTTCAACCCATTGCGTTCCGCTTCTCGTGGCCGCAGTCCATTTAATCCCGCATTTATATTTTTGTATTCGCTTTCGTTGATTTATGTCTCTTGCTAAAAAAATACAAAAAGAATACAAAAAGTGTCACCATCAGCGGTTGGCATTTATTCAAATTGTCTCTCCCTCTGCATTTTACCACTCTTCACATCCACACATCATCATAAAAATCCAGCGAGCTTGGGCCAAATTCACTTATAAGAACAGTTTTGATGAATTATTTGGGAATACATACAATATGGGGGCTCTTCTTTTATGCATCTACTTGGAAATGGACCTAATGCGATTCCATGGAAATATTTCTTAGATGTCAAATAATTGAATGATTCGATATTATTCGTTTATCGTTTAGTTTTTGAAATAAAACCTATGCACGTCCACTTGTGCGCTTGTGATAAAGAAATTGAACATAAAACTCATTTAATCTTCAAGATAACTTAATCTTACTCTTCTCGAAACCAGAATGAAACCAGATTCCACAGCTGCCCACTCTCAGCCCGGCGAAGCGTTAGTTTTAATCAATTAATTAAAGGCGTAATCCTAGGCAGCCGCTGATTTGCGGTGGGTCAAACCACTGTGGTTCGGGCAGTTAGTTCCATTCGAAATGTGGATGCTGCGACGACAAATTAGCGCAATGTTCGACTCGGCTCGCGGCGCTTAACAATTAAAAACATTGTGCTTGGTTTTTATCTCGAGGAATTTCAAGCAAAATTCGAAACGAACAAATCGAAATCGAAGTGGAAGTAGAAAGGGAAATGCCAACGAAGGGCAGTTGTCGCCTCTTTAGCTGCGTTTCGGGGCAGCGCCGGCAGTCGAAGGAGGAGGACTATGTGGACATGGAGATGAGTGAGTTCCCGATGCAGCTGCGCGATGCGAAGTCCATTAAATTGTGATCGATCACAGCCAAAAATACAGAGTATTTTTGCAAATTGCACATACGCAAATCAGCGAAACAAGGCAGCACAAAGATGTTGATGATGAACAAAGGGAGCATTTTATCTTTCGCGAAAGTGGAAGCGATTTAACAATTACCAGATGTTCCAGCACTCAGCCATTCTGGGATATATAGTCCACGGCGCAACTCAATGTCAGCAGACTGCACTTCTCAACCCCAAAACCCTTCGCTTTGCCATTTTCAACAGCCGCGTTGCTGTCGCAAAACTGTCGTCTGCCATGTAATTGAGAAATAAATTTCAATGCAGCCACAGAACCGACAGAATCCTCCGCTTCCTCCTCCGTCACAAAATCAAAGTTTGCAAACTGAAACGAAACAAAAGCCATTAAGGCCAAAGTCGGTCGAGCAGGATCAACAACTCAAAACAAAAGTTGACATTGGACATTGAAAGGCAGTTCACTTAAAATCAAATTATTCTGAAAATTACCATGGATCTGGTTTGGGTTTTAAATTAAAATTACCAAATGGCCTTTTAACTGAGAAAATTGTAGGTTTCCTGATAAAATTGGCTTTTAATTTTGTAAAAAATATCTTTCTAAAATATCTTTCTTTAAATAACCAAGATATTCGGAATTTTAAGGAAACGCACAGAAAAAAAATTGAAAAAATATAAGATTTATGCGAGCTGCTCAATTTTATATTTCTTGAAGATCGAGTATTCATAACGTTTTGATATGAATAAGGATTATGTGTATCTTATTTTACATTATTTCTTCAAAAATTACAACATTTAGTATTTTATATGATATGATAAAATATCAAGTTGTTAAGTTTGAATCATAAATTTGACATACATCTTATCAGCTTTTGACCCTTTTTTTTCAGTCTGTATATGATATCTATTTTTTTTCGGTGCACCGCGACAGGATAAACTTTTATTCGGTCACAGTAATTAATCATTGAAAAAGGGCCAAAGCAAAGCTTTCGGAAACAACCCACGGTTCCACTTAATTATGTTGTCAGGGGTCTTTTTGAAGGCTTCAAATAAAATTTGACAATATTTTGCATATGAAGAGAGGCAGCAAAATATATATTTGCAGTTGTGGCCCCTGTTATTTTTGTATTTCCCCATCATATACAGAGTTGAGTTCCAGTTCCAGTTCCTTTGCCTTATAATGAGCACCAGCTGCAGGGAGGGAGATATGTGGGCAAAAAGGAGGGCAAGTCGGGCAGGAAAAGCAGAGAAATAAGAGGCAAGGCAAACAGGGCGAAGAGCAGAATAAAGATAGAGATACTTCTGCTGACGTCGCCGCCATTTGTGGGTGTCAAGAAGTTCAGATTCTGGCAAATGCAACAGTGGATTTCGGTTTGGCCAGGAGATAGCATCGCTTTGTCTCCACTTTCCATGTGCGTGTGCATCGCAGTCGTCATCGTTTTCATCCGAGTGCTTGTGAGTTTTGCTCCGAGGAGATTTATTTAAATGCGCTAAACGTGACTAAATTTATGGGGCAACCTGAGGCCGACGCAGGGAAAATGTCGCCGGGACAACAAAACTGATTAGTCCGGCCTAATTTATTTGGCTAAAACGGGAGAGCAGTCCCACCCGTAAGTTTCATCCGAAGATCTTTTGTTTTTCCTCCACTAAAACCCAAATCCAACTATGTATCTTCGGACAGTCGCGATGAGACTGTCACTACGGAATGTGGCTGTGTGGAAAGTTCAGTAGATTCTCTGAATTCTTCGAGTGTTGAGCAAAGATTACAACATAACTTATTCGAACACAACACTTTGGGATTACACATTGTGAGTGAGTGTGAAATATGTGGCACAAACCGATGAAATATGAAATTATAGGTTCATGGTGTGAATGAAGTCTCCCGAAATAGCTATAATAATATTTATGAGGATCCTATCAACTTTTTAATCTGACTCTGCAATCAAATCAACTCCTAAATACCTGACTCCACCAAAGATAAGCGACCATTTCGATTCAGGTGACACAGTGCCTCACTTGGGTATACACACACTTTCCCATTGCGTCCTTGATTATCGCATATTGAAGAATAGCGGCGCTTGAATGAGCCAAAAAGTCACATTCCCTCGGGAAAAAGTAAAGAAAATTGTTTAGGAAGAGGGAACTATTTGAAGAGGTCACAAATCAAGCTGGTCAAATCCTAAGTAAACACATTATTTATCACAGACACACGCACTGTATATATGTGTTCGTTTCTATATATAAAGTGCAAGTGGAGATTATTCAGGGGGTCGCCTTGGGCCATTGCTTCCTTATCAGCAACTCCTCCGGAGACGAAGTTATTTGAGTTTTCGATTCATTTTCACTGACCGTCCCACGATCTTTTCCGCTCATTTTGCAGACAACTGCGGCAACGTGAACAACGCAAGTGGAGCGAGTGCATCCGGATTCCTGGGTCCCAGCGGCTACAACATGGACGACATTCTGATCATTACCGCCAAGCACAGCGAGCGCGCCTATCTGAGGGCCACTTTCCTGAAGAACCACTTCGACAAGATCACCAAACAGCGCGGACGGAAACCATTCAAGTGAGTTTGAAGTACCTACTATATAAATTTAAATAAAAAACTTAAGAATAAAAAAATTAAGTTGATAGATATGAGTCCCAAAGATATTATTTTATTGTTAGTCAATCTCATCTCAATACAAATTAAAATTAATATCAAGCAATTCTCTTTACATTTTGTAAAAATACTTCTTTATTTTAATTTCTACTTTTTAAACCTAAGAATCAGCACAAAATAAAAAAAAACAACCTAATATTAATCTCGGAGTTTCTTAAAAACCAATTAAAGTTTTTAATGATATAAGGACTGTAATTTCTACATATCCTATCGACAAAAATCTAAGACTTACAATTTAAAATAATTAAGTAAATATTAAATATGCATTTAACAAAATTAAGAATATATATTTAATAATTATTTTTCTCCCCCAGTTTTCTGCACATCAAAATTGACGATGGTCCCTTCAGCGAGGAGATTGCCCAGAAGTACCAGAACACAGCGCTGCAGATCGTGATCCTGTGTCCGGCCCTTTTGGCCCTGCCGCACAGCTTCCTGATGGCCCAGCTGTCGTCGATCATTCGGGTGGAGAAGGTGCTGGCCATTCTGCTGGACGTGAGCGAGGAGAAGGTGAAGGAGATGCACAAGTCGGCGCTGCCCAGCTACTACAGGTGGCGGCGGTGTGTGGTGCGCGACAACGACCAGGTGCAGATCAGCAACATCCTGGGCATAGCCACCGACATCCTGGGGAGGGCGCTCTGCCAGCGACCTCCGTGCCACGACAGCTCCAGCGGAGGAGGCGGCGGCGGCGGTGGCCTGTCGCGCAGCTTCTCCAGCTGCACCGAGGGCTTCACCGTGCTGCCCAAGAAGGTGAAGCTGGGCCAGAACAAGGTGGTGGCCCTGCTGGCGGAGCCGCTCGAAAAGAACGACACGCTGAAGCTGCTCGTGGAGAAATCGGGCGAACTGATCGAGCTGCGCAACTTCAAGTGCCGCAATCCCTACACCCTGCAGTTCAACATCCCGGAGGCCTGCATGGAGATCTCCACGATGATCGAGATTCGGATCGAGAAGAACAACAAGAGTCTGGGCGCGCGGCCCATCAAGTGCGAGAGTCGTCTGCGGGAACTGGAGCAGTTGCTGCGCATCGAGGACTCGCCGATTGAGTTCATGTGCCATGCCTTGGGCATTGGACCGGTGGAACGGGATAGCCTCGATCAGCACCTGTTGCAGTGCTTCCAGCGGAACATGCCGCCCAACTTTCACCTGCTGAGCGGTCCCAGCGAGCGGCAGCCGCACTTCTTCACCCGCCTGGAGTCCAGTCCCGAGGAGTATCCCACGCTGCTGCACTTCGCCGCCCGCTGGGGCCTCGATCGCCTGTGCATCCAGCTGATGGAGTGCCCCGGCGGCGATACCGCCTGCGGCGTGAGGAACTGCGCCGGACGCACCCCGGCCGAGCTGGCCGAGCAGGAGGGCCACCACAAGCTGGCCCAGAACATTGTCAGCTTCGCGGAGTTCCACGAACTGACCACCATGTACCACTTCTTCAAGGGCGTCACCCCGTCCGCTGGGGATAGCAGTCCCAAAACAGGTGTGGTAATTGAAGCCCATCCCGGCAAGGGAAAGTCCTCGAACAGCAAGCCACCCAAGCAACTGCCCTCGTCGGCCGAGTACATGGAGATGTCCAGCGGATCGGAGCGGGAGAATACACCCGAGGTGAGGCCCAAAACGGAGACCCTGGCCATCTCGAATCTCAACTACATAAGTGTGGAGACGGAGGATGAGAATCTGCAGGCTTCGGTGGCCGAAAAGAAGGTGGAGTCCGAGAAGAAACTGCCAGAGGCGGGAAGCAGCCAACCCGGTCCCGAGCAGACCACCAATGAGCTGAGGATCAACGAGCCACCCTACTACCAGTCCAAGGAGCAGAACCGCCAGCCAAAGGAGCTGGATGAAGTGGATGCTGCTGCTGCTCTGCCCCTCTACCAGACCGACAAGTTCAGCCAGGAGTGCTCGCAGCTGCTGGAGAACCAGCTGGGCAACGACTACGTGCTGCAGCCCTCCAATGTGCCGGTGGCCCAGAACGATGATGGCAACTATTTGTTCCAGCCCTCGAATCGCCCGGTGGAGGAGCCCCTGCGCCTGAGTCGCTGCACCAACCGGCAGCAAGGAACCTATGGAACCCTCAAGCGAAGTGCCAGCGATGCCTCCGCCGCCAGTCACACGCGCTCGAATGCCGACGACGAGCTGGCCGAGATTATGCACGACTTCAAGAACAATGTTCTGTCCATTAGGGATGTGGAGCTGCTGGTGGAGCGGTGGAAGCACCGCAACGACGTGCAGCAGAGCTTCCGGGAGAAGCAGGACCAGATTGACCAGCTGCGGAGGGAATACGAGCGCATCCAGGAGCAGGTGAAGTCGCATTTGAAACGAGAAACTCCCTTCGAGCGGATCAAGAAGTTCTTTTCGCGATCCAAGACGCCGGGTGGCAACAACAACGATAGTTTGTTGGACGAGACCAAGTCCTCGATAGCCACCAGCTGCAGCTTCAAGTCTGGGAGTGTAGCTACCTCCGTGGGAGCTGGACGTCCCATCAGCTCGCTGAGCCTGCAGAGCGTGTCCAGTTCGAGTTCCTCCTCCGGCCGCCTGAGCACCGGCAGCAATTGCAGTGGCGCCTCGCTGGGCGATTCGGGCACCCACTCGGATCACGAGGATCGTCGCTTTCCCCACTGCCGGATGATGGACAACTATATGGTTCCGCCGCCGCCGCGACCCGTCTTCACGCCCAGCTCAACGCCCGGCGACGAGCGCCACCAGATCGTCTTCCCATCGCCCATGTCCAGTTGCCAGCGCCTGAACACACCGACCAGTCCCACCGGTTCCGAGCACTACCAGATGTTCCCCTCGAACATTCCGGTCTACGGCAGCCAACCGCTGGCCAGCTCGCAGAGCAGCAACTACCTGAACACCATCATGGAGGCCAAGGAGCAGGCGGAGACGCAGCACTACCAGAATCAGTCGCCCGGCAACGGAGTCACCCTGCAGCCGATCAAGCTGAACGAGCGGTCGAACATCATCTACGGCAAGCTGACCAAGAGCAGCTCCGCCAGCGGATGCAGCTCCTTTAAGCCCAGCAGCAAGCAGATCGCAGTGCCGTGTCCCCAGGTGGGCAGCATCGAGGTTCAGGCCGAGGTCTACCAGAATGTGGGCGACATTGCCCCTGACTCCGGTGATTCCAAGGAGGAGGAGGCTCCCAACTACATGAACTGCTAGGCCATCCAAAACGAAGCACATAATCGAAATCGAAGGATACTTTAGCCTACGTTCCGATTGAATGAGGCAAATAATAACACTAGTTTACAAAATAATATTCTTGGTGTGCTCCCCAGCAATTGATGGCAAATTCTGTTAGTGCTGGACCCCTAGATCACAAAAATAGCAATTATTTTTTTTTCGATGGCACAGTTTTTTTTTAAAGATTTTTTAAAGTTCGAAATGTTAAATTTCGGACTCAACCACTTGGTTGAGCCAGTTTTAGTTTTATTTTAAAGTCAATAGATCAGAGCTTAACTTTGCCATACAGATCAATATGATTGGATGAGTAATGGCAGCGCAGAAGCTTGACAAAGATGAAAAATGTGTTTTTTGGTCGTCTGTAAGTCGGCTGTATATATCGTAAAAACTCGAAATAAATCCGTTGAAAAATCATAATGGGTACAAACTTAAAGTGTACATCCTACCGAATAGAACAAGCTGAATATGGCCCAAATCCATGGAAAACTGGATTTATGGTAGATTTTTAAAGTTCGGATTTTCCACTTTTTTCGGTTGACAGAGTCCAAATTTAAGATTTATCATAGGCGGCGTCATGTAAACAAAAATGAGTGGTGACGGCAGCCGGATCAAAAAATAGCTAAATTTAAAAGCTAGAAAATTATAAAATAAATTTAATTTCTGAAAATTCCTTTAAAAATATAAAATTGCTTGCGTTATGACTGTGAGTATTTTTAATTAAGTACTATCCATTTGGATAGTTCATTCTTATGAAAAAAGTAACCTTAATTTCAAAAATTAAATTCACTTTAATAATTTTCTAGCTTTTAAATATCTGATTTAGCTATTTAGTGACCCGGCTGCCAACACCAATTATTTTTGTTTACATGTCGCCGCCTATGATAAATCTTAAATTTGGACTCTGTCAACCGAAAAAAGTGGAAAAATCCGAACTTTAAAAATCCACCATAAATCCAGTTTTCCATGGATTTGGGCCATATTCAGCTTGTTCTATTCGGTAGGATGTACACTTTAAGTTTGTACCCATTATGATTTTTCAACGGATTTATTTCGAGTTTTTACGATATATACAGCCGACTTACAGACGACCAAAAAACACATTTTTCATCTTTGTCAAGCTTCTGCGCTGCCATTACTCATCCAATCATATTGATCTGTATGGCAAAGTTAAGCTCTGATCTATTGACTTTAAAATAAAACTAAAACTGGCTCAACCAAGTGGATAAGTCCGAAATTTAACATTTCGAACTTTAAAAAATCTTTAAAAAAAAACTGTGCCATCGAAAAAAAAATTAGTGCTATTTTCGTGATCTAGGGGTCTAAAACTAACAGAATTTGCCATCAATTGCTGGGGAGCATTTCGGCTGTAAACTAGTGTAATATTCAAATTACTTTGATCTGATATTTGCTTAGTCTGTAAGCTCATCCATTTGCATACCAAATGAAAGGATGAAATGAGTATGAACTAGTTATCGGTATTCTAATTATACTTTTAGGACATTCGAAAGTGGTCTTGATTTTTGAAAAATCATATAAAGAAAATTAAGGTATTTAATCTCAAGATCACTTCGGTTTATTTGTATTATCTCTGTAGTCTTCGGTTTCAGCATCTAATTGTACATTTGTGAAACGATTGCAAGCAACCAAATCAACATATCGCTAGCCAATAAGTGTAGATCCTAAGTCGATACCAACGAACCAAGCAGCTGACATATCAACGCGACTCATTCAACTCTAGGAATAGGAATAACCCATTTAGTGTTAAGGCTCCCACTTTTTGGCATGCCGTTAAGCATGAAAAACTCGTTCATTCTACTATCCTCATCCCCCCTCACAAAGTTAAACGCAATAAATTCTCTTATATATAAGCAGAGTCAAACCTGTTTTCATTTGCCACGTGCGAAGGAGGTGGTGTTTAGAGGGTGGTGGGCGGAAAAGTGTCCGTGGCGAACAGAAAATCGTGCGGAATCCCCTGAAACACGCAAAATGGGATTGCAACTGCCAACGTAAATTTCCCTTTTTCGGAAACAAATGCAAGTTTGCATTCATAAGGACCTGCTGGAACGACTTTTTCCGCGCTGCCTTTTAAATGATAGCAAAGGGAAATGGTAAAAGTGAAAATATTTAAAGGACTGAAATGTTTGTAGCACACTTTTCTGCTGACAATCCAATGGCCGCTAAGGGATTATTGCCAGCTTAAATAAAGGGAAAAGCATAAACACAGCTTATTTAAATAGGAAAATAATACAAAAAGGAACAGAAAAGGTAAAAATGGTAAAAAATAAAAGAAAGTTAACTTAAATTGGCAATTCTTCAACGTGGAATGTGTTTGCATTTCACGACTTAATATTTAATTTTCAGATTAAAAAGCATATAGCTGCTGACTTGCACCAATACACTCTTTTTTTTCGCCCCCAAAAGCATGCCATAAAAATGCTGAAATGCGAAATGTGGAAACCTCGGTGGAGTATCCATTCTCGTTGAGCTGCCACTAACATCCGCCACTCGAGGGCATACATACATGCTTTCACAAGCTGCAGATGAAAAAAAATAAAAATCATACATGTATGTGCATGGATTCGCACTAAGCCGGCATCTCTTAATTCACACTCAATGGGCCGCAAAAATCTCTCGCTCCGCTCCCGATGCGTACGCTCTGCATAGTATTTTTCCCAGCTGACTTGCCGTTCGCGTTACATGAACACCCACTCCCTCACTCACACAGATGCAGGGCAGACAACATGGCCACAATCAGTCGGCCATCAGTCTCTGGCCTGCACCATTTCCGGATCCGCTCCGCTCGGTTGTTTGTTTTGTTTTCCCGCTGTAATGTAACGCAGAGAGAGAGAAAGAAAGCTCAAAAAAAGAGAGAGAGCCAAGCTTTTGGGGAGCCGAGAAATGAGATGTCTTAACCTAAAATACCATTACCTTTGATTAATACCAAATTCCAAATTTAATAAATAAAATACTTTTGTTCAAAAAAATATAAAAAAACAAAAACATTTTTTAGCTCTAAATTACCGCTTTACAAGAATTTAAAAAAATGTACAAAATTAGCACATAGTAAGAAATCGACAATAAATATAAGTTCATAAAAAAAAGGTATTCAATCACTTTCCATAAATAAATAAGAAACAAATTGTTCACAAATATATTTTCCAGATTTTGATAAAACTTGTATTTAAAATTCTGTAAAATTCTTTTTATCTATTTCTTATAATATACCTATGATAAAACTTTCCAATAATTTAAATCGGTAAATGCGAAATACTAGCTAAATAAAAAACCAATTACAGGGTACCTATAAGAGCGAGAGAAAAGCTAACTGGGAGAGAAAGCTGGCGAAAGAGAGCGGGAGAGAGCCGAAAGCTTTAAATTTCGCAAGGTAAAAGCGAACAAGTGTGTATAAAAAGGACATTTCGTTCAGTCGTCGACTCTGTTAATTAAGCGAAACTGCGACGCAAAAAGGCGGAACGAATTTCACTTTAGCGAAGAGAAAAAAACGTTTCCACTTTCCGCTGCAACAAAGTATCTAAAAGTAAAAGTTGCTGTTTGTCTTTTGGATGAATATCCACAGATTGTGCATCCGAAAATTGAAAATTACCGCGTAACCATTGGACCAGAATCGAAGGACTCGTGTTGTGTGTGTGTGTGCAAAGAAAACTCTGGCTGGCATTTTTGCAGCTTCAACTGCGTAGCAGCCAGGGAAAACACACGTTAATTAGTTTTCACCCACGCCGCAGAATCTTTGATTCGAGGAAAGTCCGGGGACTCTGCGCTAATTAATCCTGGGACTTGCTGGCTCCACAGCTCTACGGAAAAAATCCAAGAGGCTGGAGATGAATTAACCAGGTGGACGAGACACCGCTCGTAAATAATTGAAGGTAGGTGAAGTTGCCCTGTCGGCAGGCCAGTGAAATTTATGCCACATTTCCCCTCCGTCAACACCACGAACAGGACGCATTAACCTTCGTCCTTGGCGGGAATTGTGTGCTCTTCTGGTTGGGATTTTTGTAAATTTTAATTATTTATTTCTGGCACTCGAGAGCGGCAACGGTTGCCACACGAGAGTGCCGAGTACTCGAAACTTTCTGCACAGCAAAGCATTTTTAATGATGTGCTAAACGATCGACTCGAGGCCCCCGTAAATTCTCACCTCGCAATGCGGAACTTAACCCTTTGGGTTTATGTGGGACAAATCTTTGATGTTATTAGGGAGATTACTATTAGAGGCTTTAAAGAGCGATGACTTCACTGAAAAAGAGAAAATATAAAGTGCGGATTCCTCTATTTATTAAATACACAGAAAAGTCAGTTTTTAATTATTTACTTTTTAAAGCTTTAAAACCTCTTATTAAAATTAAAAAAAAAATTTTCTTTTGTTTGTTTACAACAGAAGGAATAATATACTTCGTGGGTTAAAAGCGTAGAAATAAATTTATAGATACTTTCGACATATTAGGTTAAGTATAGCTGATATTAGTTTAACAAAAGCTACAGATCGAGGATGATCATAGTAACTGTGCTGCTTCTCCTGGTCGTGAGTGCCAATCTGCGGAGAATCGTAAAAAGAGAATGCCGGTATAAGCCCCAATCCATTGGCCACAGTGCACTGAAGGCAAATTATTTCTATTACGACACTGGGCTCAGAAAGTGCATAATGGGGACTTTTACATCCTATGTTGTGGGAGATAACCTACACCAAAGCTTATTGGCCTGCCAAAGAAGATGCATGGGATTGCCCAAGGAAAAGGATTATTTCAAAAGTAATGCTTTGGAGAATCCCAACAATTCATCTATTTATCTGTACAACCGGGGAATCCCTGTAAACCTCAGTCCACATAGTGACGAATCGCATGGAGAGTAAACGGAAAAATATTAACTGAGCTTAACATGGCTCATCTATAATTAAGTTTGTATGCCTCGACTGTTTTTATCTATTGGATTTCTTATTTCATATTGTTTGTACAAATTGCGAACTTTAAAAATACAAAATAAAACAGCTTGAATTTTATTTATAGATTTAAAAATGATACAAGGGCGTTTAAAATTTCATGCAGAAAATGCAAATTTTTTAGCATGCAAATCAAATTACCAATCGGTTACATTTAATACTAACTCTTTATTTAAATCAGCATATACTTCAGTCACTCATCAGCAAACAAAGTTAAATGGTCCTTAAAATGATCGTATTCCTTTTGATGATCTCCAGTACTTTGATGCGCAAAAAAATTTCCAAGTATTGTCGCGTAAAACCCAGAGGTTATGGCACCTGTTTGATGACAAATTATGTATTTTATTATTCCACTGCAAGCAGAAAATGCATTATGACCAAACTCAAGTGTGTTGTGCTCGGTTTTAACGCGTATGACACCAAGATACTTTGTGAAAATGAGTGTATGTATGCCAAAAAAATTGAAAAGCGTCCAACCAAGAAGCCAGTGAAGCAAGATTTTATGTATGATATGGAGGAATATATAAATGACAAATCCGTTTCAAATGAGACTGTAGACTTCAACGAATTTGATTATAAAGATATGGAGAATAAGGTGCATACTACTGATAAATCCGTTTTAAATGCGACAAAGGACTTTACCGAATATGATTATATTGATAATGATAAATCCGATTCAAATAAGACTAACGACTATGCCGAATATGATTATATGGAAAAGAATAATTCGAGCTCAAATGAAAAACCCAGATAAAAAAAAAATAATTTATTCATGACTTAAGCTGTGCCTTTTATTTTTATTATTAAGTTTAAAGCGTTTTTTTCTGATTTATTTACTATTGAAAAAAATTAAATTTTTTTGTTTTAAATTTAAGTTACCAAAGAAATGTGTAAATTGGTTTAAAGACCTTCACTCTGCAGTTTGGTTACTTAATGCATATAGTATTTTTCTGGTGCTCGGTTTTTGTTTCAGCCTCTTCTTGGCTTGTCACCAGCGTCTTTGGGTCGAGTTGGCGGGCACTCATAAATATTTCAAGTTGTCAAAGCTGGCCTGTGTGTGAGTGTCCTTTTTCTAGCAAATATGTAAGCAGCCGCAACTTGTTAGCGTGTGTGCTGCACAAACAGCCAGCGTTTCCGCTTCGCTTTCTGTGTCAGCCAGCGGCTTCTGCACCCTCTTCATCGCTTTCTTGGCCCAGAAGCCGTCGCATTGTTGCTATAATTTTAATTACCACTCGAGCGACTTTTGCGCCGTAAGTCGGTGAATGGGTGAATGAGTGAATGAATGAATGGCAGAAGACAGAATGACTGAGTGGAGGCTAGAAAGCATCTGTAGAGCAGAATGCACATGCTTATATAGATTCCTGCTTAGGTATAATGCGGGGACGACAAACAAAAGCCTGGCAATACAATGCGAACAATTCCCGAGAAAAGCCGCATTGTTGTGGCGAAGCCACAGTCAAATGGGAAATATTGCGCATACGCCGCGTATGGCGGCCAGTCGAAGTTATGTCGTGTTTGGCAAATGTAACACACAGCATAATTGCTTATTTGCCGCTTCGGTGGCGAACTAAACCGCACAGACGAATAGATAACCGATCCGCCAAGTATCGATTGTAATTCATGCAAAGCCAATGACCACAGCGAACCACCCAACTGTCCGTCCTTGGGTGGCGGTCCGTGTTTTTAGGGGGTGGCAGCAAATTAAACTTTCCATAGACAAGTTTTTCGGGCTACAGAAAAACTTTTTCTTTGCCATATTATAATACCTAGAGCGATAAAATATGAGCTTGAGTGGCTGCTTTAAAATGGCTTTATTGTTGAATATACTTCTGTTAAAGCAGCCATTTAAGCCTCGTAAATTTGGCAATAAAACTGGTAAAGATTTTCATAGCTAACATTAAAGAACTTATTGCGGGCTTCAAGCAAGTTTTCTTAGCAAGTATTGACATATTTTATGTTATTAGTTGTCGATTCAATTGGCTGGAAGTTAATAAGAATATTTCGCCAACTATGCGATGCTATTTTCTTTCATTTTTTTGCATTGCCAGGAATTTCTAAGCCCTCTTTCGTAACTGGGGCTTGAAGGAGAGCATGGAATGCAGCTTACACAAGCCAATTCACTTTGATTCAAGAGAGAGCAACCGAAAGGTACTTTTTGAACACTATTACCATAATATTTGGGCTAGGAATAACGAGTTAAATGGCCAACGCTTGGCAGCTGCTCAAAGTGCAGCAACCGTAATTGCAATGGCAGCAAACGATAACAACGTTTTTAGGGCGATCATTATAATCATGCAATTTAGCCCACGTCCTTTCCAACTACTGTAACTGGACGCCTTTTGGCCAAAGGAAAGGCAGAAAATATATATAAAGAATTGTTATTACAGTTTGCAAAGTCGTTTGGCTGTACAATAACACACACACATTTACACTGTAACGGCCCGAATTGGCCGTACAAAAAACACGCAAAGTTCCTTATAATTTAAGAACATGAAGTTCCAGTTGTTCCCGAACCATAATATAAATAAATAATTATTAAGATAACCACGGCCATCTCTAGCTAGCAGGGTGTGGGGGGGTGCATAGAAACGAGAGAGCAGCAGCGGAGAGAGGGAACAGCAGCAGCGGAGGCATAGAGCAGCGTGAGCGACCGAACTGGATCAACGAAGGCGGCAGATCGAGACAGAACTTTCCAGAGAGTTATCTACGAAACACTCAGTAAGTGTAAGAGCGAGACCACAGTAGCATGCCGAGCAGAGGGCAGAAGCAGCGAGAATGAAGAAAGGAGGATAACTTTGGGCCGCGGCTTTAAAACTGGGACAAGGAGAAGTCAGTTGTGACCAGAGCTTGAAGGAGACCACACGCGATCGCTCGCGACCCCAGTCCGCCGCGACAACCAGTACCGACTCGTCTTGGAACCACGTGCTCGCGATTCTTGAACCACGTGCCATCGTGCTTGTCTCGCGCCTTCCCTGGATACAACAACCCGCCACCAGAAGCAGCGAATAGCAGCTTTATCTGCCGCCAAGAAACGTTGGATTTTGTTTCGTGTTGACCGAATCTGTCTGAGTGAGTAGCGTTAAATCAAGGAGTGCGGTATAGGCAGGGACCCCTAGGTTCTCATTCAATAAATATTATATCCGAAACTTGAAAACCTGCGTGTCTATTAAACCCCATTCGCGTGTATATTTTGGGTGCTAGCAGCCAGGCGCCAAGCCTCTGCTCCCACTAGCGTCTAGCTACCCATTCCCACGTGCATCTCTCGGTGATCGCAGCCAGGCGCCAAGCCTCTGCTCCCACTGGTGTACCATTTTCCCGGTTCCCGTGTGCATTTTTGGGTGATCGCAGCCAGGCGCCAAGTCTCTGCTCCCACTAGTGTAGCACTACCCACCCCCACGTGCTCCCTTCGGTGATCGCAGCCAGGCGCCAAGCCTCTGCTCCCACTGGTGTACTATTTCCCGGTTCCCGTGTGCATTTTTGGGTGATAACAGCCAGGCGCCAAGCCTCTGCTCCCACTAGTGTAGCACTACCCACCCCCACGTGCATCCTTCGGGGATCGCAGCCAGGCGCCAAGCCTCTGCTCCCACTGGTGTACCATTACCGACGACCCACCCGGTTGTTTTCCCAAAATCTTCCCCTACGAGCCCGATTACATAACCCTAACGTGCGCCCGACAACTTCCACCTTTGAGTCGGCTCACCCTCTACAAAAATTTCCAAAGTCCCCAACTTATAAATTTTTCTGTAAGCGACCCTGGCCGGACTGAGCCATATCCCAGCCAGGAAACTACGTTACAGATGGCGCCCGAGCAGGGACCAACAGGGAATCAGGATAATTAGAGGATTACATCCTTCGTGACTTAAAACGTCACCAGTTTTATTTTTTTTTGGGAAAAAAAAAAAGAATTTTTCCAGTTGGAATAAGATAATT